TCACTAACGATCTAGGCTCATGATATCCCCATCCCCAAGTTTTTTATTATTATTATTATATTTACATGCAAAGCATGCTAATAAATACAATAAAACAAGGTCATGAGAACGAAACATAACACCGGCCTGAAGGACGCACAATAATTACAACACACAATTTCAATTTCATGATATTTCATGATAATATATGATACATATAAATAGGATAACGACAGCAGCGTACTCTACACTGGCGAAAATTAGAACTTCATTCAGAAACCTAAATGAGGAGGCTTTTAGGGCGCTTTACACTGCCTACGTGAGACCCGTCTTAGAGTATGCCGCGCCATCATGGAGCCCCCACCTGAAGAAACACATAAAGAAACTGGAGAAGGTTCAGAGGTTTGCGACGAGGCTTGTCCCAGAGTTACGAGGGATGGGATATGAAGAGCGGCTGAAGGAACTGAACCTTACGACACTAGAGAAAAGAAGGGAGAGAGGAGATATGATAGGGACATATAAAATACTCAGGGGAATTGACAAAGTGGAAATAGATGAAATGTTCACACGTAATAATAACAGAACGAGGGGACATGGGTGGAAACTGGAAACTCAGATGAGTCACAGAGATGTTAGGAAGTTTTCTTTTAGCGTGAGAGTAGTAGAAAAATGGAATGCACTTGGGGAACAGGTTGTGGAAGCAAATACTATTCATACTTTTAAAACTAGGTATGATAGGGAAATGGGACAGGAGTCATTGCTGTAAACAATCGATAGCTAGAAAGGCGGGATCCAAGAGTCAATGCTCGATCCTGCAAGCACAAATAGGTGAGTACACAGCTCAACAAACCACAGGCCCCATTCACACACTAAACACAGCAATCACAGACTACTCAAACTGCTCATACTTCTCCGGCCACTCCGCCGCCGGGAATCGAACACAATACACCTCCCAAAGCAAAATGATGTTATCTGGAACAGGTTTACTATGAACCATACGAGGATCAGGCATCAACTCTGGCACACCCACAACAAAACACCGAGCCCGCGGAACCCAGACAGAATGGCTCCATGGAACAGGATGCACATGGTCAACAATGTCAAACAGCAAGGGTGTTTCAAATGCTACCAGTACTCCAGCCCGTCCTCCAAACAAAGATCCAAAAGTGATTCCATGCACCCGCCAAACACCCTGTTTATGAATAAAAAGCGGTTTACACACGACTCTCAACTGCTGACGTTCGAACATATCCGGAACAAGTGCTTCACTGACGAATTTTGTTTGAATCACAACGCTATAAATGCTTCACCCACGTACTACAAATACAAATAATCGCCAACAGAACCTAAACACCTAACCTAACTTAACCTATGCCTATATATACACTATGCTAATATATTATAATATAAATTTATACTTGAGAAAATTCCCGTTTTGAATGACCAGCATGTTAAAATTTATGAATGTGTCTGTGGGGTTGACCGTTGGATGTAATGGACGAGTCGAAGACGGGTTGCAGTATTCACATTACACCAGGAAGTGCCCACAATGTGACCCCAAGTGCAGTGTCTGTACCTAGGACCACCATTACAAGCAATGCTCTGCTCTTGTCCCTTCACCTTCTCGCGTGTGGTGTGTTCAAAATGCTCTGCCGATTATCAACGCTGTCGTGTGTAATGTTGACTACTCCACCGTGTCCCATTTTTGCCCCCCGCCGTCAAGAACAAATAAAGAAAATTGTTGACAACTGGCCAAACTTCACCTCCGCTATTCCTACCGGCTCCCACCCGACTACAGCTCCTCCCACCAGCCAACCAGAAGCCTTCCCTGCCTTACCAGGTGGTGACCCCACATCCCAGACATTCCAGTAATCTCACTGGAGAATTAACGTCCCCATCAGCAACCCATCCTCCGGTTTAGATAGTACTTTGTAATTATGTGTACCATAGTACACTCCATGACGTAAGACGCAATTAGATAGAAGAATTTGGTACTATTTACTTTATAGGAGTTCGAAAAAATTAAGCTAAAAACTAACTTAAATATTCCCAGGCAATATATTATTGCACATATATGTGCTACATTAAGCCTCAGATAGCGTGTATTAGGCCTTGGAAGGTTAGATTAGGTAAGTTTCGGTTGTCTTTGCAACATAAATACAAAACCTTTTCCAGTTTGTCCAAAATTAATAATAACGATTTCTTTAATTTTCTATTACGTCATATAGTAACTATGTGGACCATAGTACATATAAGTACTAACTAAACAGAAGGATGAACAATCTTCTCAAACATCCACCTCACTGGATACTAATGCTGGTGTGATTTCTGCACTTCATCTTGCTCACCGAATTGCTGGATCTTGACAATCGATTGTTTTTATTCCATAATAAATACATTCTAAGCTGCAAATGGTTTAACACGCATCATAGCACGTGACGTGTTTGGTGCTCGGACAATGAAGTCTACCTCGGCCCCAGCATCAACGACTCAGTGTCGAAGACGTCTGCTTCTGCACCAACCACCGTCGCTGTTCTAGCTGCAGAACATGCGGCCATGCCTTCCGCACAAGTCGTCAGTTCTTCCTCTTTACCACCTACTATTATCGTACCATCTGACATAATAAAGGATGTGCTTTCTACATCAGCCAACGAAACTACTGTGACTCAAGCTCCCACAGCAGCCCAAGAAGAGTTCATTGCTACTGCTTCTGGACAAGATGAACTCTTATTGTGTGAAGACGCACATAACCATCATTTTACCCTAGTCCAGAAACATTTCGAGACCATGGAATAAGAGGAAGCTGAAAGAATCTGATTGTATCAAGTCCTACGTTGAAGCAGACACAGTTCGTTACTGTGCTGATGTCACACTATTCAACCCGGCCATTATCGACCCCGAATACTATAAGTACCAAAATTCGCTGGCCAAATTCCGGAGAAAATTCCAGCACTTAACTGTGAAGAAAACAGGGAAGATAAACCTGGAGAGGGAGCTAGCACCTCCGACTCCTAAACTTCCACGGAACACCACACCTGCTATCGACCCATCGGCATTATCAGACGAAGATGTTTAGTGGAGATTTTGTCCCCACTGAAAGTTTCACTGCAACAATGATGACTTTCTACTTTGTATTACACCTTCAAACTTGAACGACAGGACCGCCATGTCAACAAGACGCAAGACTACCACCATCAAGAAGAAAAAGAACGACGACGTCCTAGGCAGGAAGAATGAAACCTGAAGAAAAAATAATTTAGAGCCAAGTAAGAAAGAAGATGTCTGGTTTTGTATGGCTCGTCGACGTAAAGCGACTATTCGTGCTCATTCAGTGTTCCACTAGTTTAAGTGGTTTGTTAGACCTGTGTCCCGAGGTTTTCTTGAACATTTGAGTGGCTGCAGAATTGATATCCGAGGTGACTGTAGACAGTCGTGTGTTGGGGTCTACTTCGTTTGTATCTAGGAGACGGATAATATCGGCTCATTTATGTTTATAGTTTCTTAATGTTCCACTTGGGGAGTGTTAGGGGATTGGTTGGTAGCTGAAAGGTAATAAATTTTATAATGGTTTGTGGTCACTACCAATATCCGGTCCTGTGTGATACTGTAGTTCATGTTGAAAGTGTGCAGTCAAAGCAGATGCCAAGTAAGGCTTCGTAATTGGTTCTGTAGTTAAAGTAAGTTGCGAGGTAGGGCGGCAAAATAAGAATATAGGGTGCAGTGGCAAAGTAGTTATATAGATCGGTGCCTGCAGTGTTCTAGGTACCTCTACTCCATGTTGGGTGACTAGCATTGAGATCACCTGTAACAATGATAGTGTCGTAACTGGTCAAGATAGAAATCCAGTTCAATTAAGTTGTCACCAGGTTTGTATGTATCCTAAAGAGATATGTGTACACCATTGCAGGGTATCAGGCATGCCAACGTTTTTAGTTTACCGTTCACAAAATGAGCAAGTGTTACAGGTTTACAAGTCATTAAGTCGAGTTAAGAGGGAAAACGCCGCCCCCCCCTCCCCCACATAATATGATTGGGTCTGTCCAATCTCTGCATCTGAAAGTTTTTGAAAATAGGATTATGTTTAGGAGTGAGCCAGGATTCGGTTACGAAAGATAGGTCCGGTTTTGATAAGTAAAGGACTTGTTAAAGTTCTGTGAGGGATGTTTTAATTATTTTCACGTTCCAAGTCATAAAGGTTAGGGGGGAGCCATTTAAGATGTTTGGGTTATGGATGCATCTGGTGTTCTTGGCATGCCAATAGTATGTGTTGGGTACCTGGATGTGGATGGGGGGTGGGACTGTGTCGTGGGATATGGTGGTTCATGTGGTCTGTCAGCCTGAGTGCTAGAGCGTTGGGGTTCGATCGACTATTTTCTGTTCCATCTGTTCCAAAGTCCTTTGTATGCTTCCATTGGATGCCTGTTTATCACTATCTAGAGCCCAGGATGTGGAGCGTGTGGAGTCCGCCCCGGGGGATGTGGAGCATGTGGAGTCGGCCCCGGGGGGTGTGGAGTCGGCCCCGGGGGATGTGGAGCGTGTGGAGTCGGCCCCGGGGGATGTGGAGCGTGTGGAGTCGGCCCCGGGGGATGTGGAGCGTGTGGAGTCGGCCCCGGGGGATGTGGAGCGTGTGGAGTCGGCCCCGGGGGATGTGGAGCGTGTGGAGTCGGCCCCGGGGGATGTGGAGCGCGTGAGGGGGGGCCAGTCGGCCCCGGGGGATGTGGAGCGCGTGGGGGGGGTCGGCCCCGGGGGATGCGGAGCGCGTGGGGGGGGTCGGCCCGGGGGATGCGGAGCGCGTGGGGGGGGTCGGCCCCGGGGGATGCGGAGCGCGTGGGGGGGGTCGGCCCCGGGGGATGCGGAGCGCGTGGGGGGGGGTCGGCCCCGGGGGATGCGGAGCGCGTGGGGGGGTCGGCCCCGGGGGATGCGGAGCGCGTGGGGGGGTCGGCCCCGGGGGATGCGGAGCGGGGGGGTCGGCCCCGGGGCGGAGGGGGGAGTCGGCCCCGGGGGATGTGGAGTCGGCGGGGATGCGGAGCGGTGGAGTCGGCCCCGGGGGATGCGGAGCGCGTGCGGAGCGCGTGGAGTCGGCCCCGGGGGATGCGGAGCGCGTGGAGTCGGCCCCGGGGGATGCGGAGCGCGTGGAGTCGGCCCCGGGGGATGCGGAGCGCGTGGAGTCGGCCCCGGGGGATGCGGAGCGCGTGGAGTCGGCCCCGGGGGGGGATGCGGAGCGCGTGCGGAGCGCGTGGAGTCGGCCCCGGGGGATGCGGAGCGCGTGGAGTCGGCCCGGGGGATGCGGAGCGCGTGGAGTCGGCCCGGGGGATGCGGAGCGCGTGGAGTCGGCCCCGGGGGATGCGGAGCGCGTGGAGTCGGCCCCGGGGGATGCGGAGCGCGTGGAGTCGGCCCCGGGGGATGCGGAGCGCGTGGAGTCGGCCCCGGGGGATGCGGAGCGCGTGGAGTCGGCCCCGGGGGATGCGGAGCGCGTGGAGTCGGCCCCGGGGGATGCGGAGCGCGTGGAGTCGGCCCGGGGGGGGATGCGGGGCGCGTGGAGTCGGCCCCGGGGGATGCGGAGCGCGTGGAGTCGGCCCCGGGGGATGCGGGGCGCGTGGAGTCGGCCCGGGGGATGCGGGGCGCGTGGAGTCGGCCCCGGGGGATGCGGGGCGCGTGGAGTCGGCCCCGGGGGATGCGGGGCGCGTGGAGTCGGCCCGGGGGATGCGGGGCGCGTGGAGTCGGCCCCGGGGGATGCGGGGCGGTGGAGTCGGCCCGGGGGATGCGGGGCGCGTGGAGTCGGCCCCGGGGGATGCGGAGCGCGTGGAGTCGGCCCCGGGGGATCGGAGCGCGTGGAGTCGGCCCCGGGGGATGGGGGCGCGTGGAGTCGGCCCCGGGGGATGCGGAGCGCGTGGAGTCGGCCCCGGGGGATGCGGAGCGCGTGGGGGGGTCGGCCCCGGGGGATGCGGAGCGCGTGGGGGGGTCGGCCCCGGGGGATGCGGAGCGCGTGGGGGGGTCTGCCCCGGGGGATGCGGAGCGCGTGGGGGGGTCTGCCCCGGGGGATGCGGAGCGCGTGGGGGGGTCGGCCCCGGGGGATGCGGAGCGCGTGGGGGGGTCGGCCCCGGGGGATGCGGAGCGCGTGGGGGGGTCGGCCCCGGGGGATGCGGAGCGCGGGGGGGGGGGGGTCGGCCCCGGGGGATGCGGAGCGCGTGGGGGGGTCGGCCCCGGGGGATGCGGAGCGCGTGGGGGGGGGGGGGGTCGGCCCGGGGGATGCGGAGCGCGTGGGGGGGGTCGGCGTGGGGGGGGTCGGCCCCGGGGGATGCGGAGCGCGTGGGGGGGGTCGGCCCCGGGGGATGCGGAGCGCGGGGGGGGGGGGTCGGCCCCGGGGGATGCGGAGCGCGTGGGGGGGGGGTCGGCCCCGGGGGATGCGGAGCGCGTGGGGGGGGGGTCGGCCCCGGGGGATGCGGAGCGCGTGGGGGGGGGGTCGGCCCCGGGGGATGCGGAGCGCGTGGGGGGGGTCGGCCCCGGGGGATGCGGAGCGCGTGGGGGGGGGTCGGCCCCGGGGGATGCGGAGCGCGTGGGGGGGGTCGGCCCCGGGGGATGCGGAGCGCGTGGGGGGGTCGGCCCCGGGGGATGCGGAGCGCGTGGGGGGGTCGGCCCCGGGGGATGCGGAGCGCGTGGAGTCGGCCCCGGGGGATGTGGAGCGTGTGGGGGGGGGGGTCGGCCCCGGGGGATACTTTGAGGTTACCTTGAGGTGCTTCCGGGGCTTAGCGTCCCCGCGGCCCGGTCGTCGACCAGGCCTCGGATGTGGAGCGGCTGCTCGCAGCCTGACGTATGAGTCACAGCCTGGTTGGTCAGGTATCCTTTGGGGGATGTTCTCTCTGGAGCACTGTGAGGGGGGGTCGGCCCCTTATGGTAGGGATGTGGAGTCTCGAACCTCTGATGTAGAGTTCTCTCTCAGAGTACCAGTTGCACCTCTGTTTTTCAACGGGGGTCGGCCCCTGGGGGATGTGGGGGGATGTGGGGGGGTCGGCCCCGGGGGATGTGGAGCGTGTGGGGGGGGGGTCGGCCCCGGGGGATGTGGAGCGTGTGGGGGGGGGGTCGGCCCCGGGGGATGTGGAGCGTGGGGGGAGTCGGCCCCGGGGGATGTGGAGCGCGTGGGGGGGTCGGCCCCGGGGGATGTGGAGCGTGTGGAGTCGGCCCCGGGGGATGTGGAGCGTGTGGGGGGGTCGGCCCCGGGGGATGTGGAGCGTGTGGGGGGGGGTCGGCCCCGGGGGATGTGGAGCGTGTGGGGGGGGTCGGCCCCGGGGGATGTGGAGCGTGTGGGGGGGGGGGTCGGCCCCGGGGGATGTGGAGCGTGTGGGGGGGGTCGGCCCCGGGGGATGTGGAGCGTGGGGGGTCGGCCCCGGGGGATGTGGAGCGTGGGGGGGGGTCGGCCCCGGGGGATGTGGAGCGTGTCGGGGGGGGGGGGGGGGTCGGCCCCGGGGGATGTGGAGCGTGTGGGGGGGGGGGGGTCGGCCCCGGGGGATGTGGAGCGTGTGGGGTCGGAAGTTTATAAGAATACAAGAATAAAGGTAACTTCAGAAGGGCTATTGGCCCATACGAGGCATCTCCTATTTATACCGACCCAATCCCACTCATATACATGTCCAACCCACGTTAAAAACATTCAAGGGGACCCCACTTTCCACCACGTTATGCGGTAATTGGTTCCACAAATTAACAATCCTGTTACCGAACCAGTATTTACCCAGGTTTTTCCTAAATCTAAACTTATCTAATTTATTCCCACTATTTCGTGTTCTGTCTTGTGTTGATACTTTTATTACCTAAGTACTTAATACCCAAAATAATACCCAAATACTTATCCATGAGAGAACTGGATAAGCAAATCCAAAGGATACCTGATCAACCAGGCTGTGATTCATACGTCAGGCTGCGAGCAGCCGCGTCAAACAGCCTGGTTGACCAGTCCAGCAAAGAGGAGGCCTGGTCGACGACCGGACTAAGGGGATGCTAAGCCCCGGAAACACTTCAAGGTAACTTCAAGGTAACCCTATTAATATCCACTATATGTCCCATTCTTTTACTTGTACACCTCTATCATGTCACCCTAGTTCTTCGCCTTTCTAGAGAGATTATTTATTGAAGAACCAGTCCAGTGTCTTTTCCATTGCATTTTTAATGGCAGCAAGAAATATTTGAGATCTGTATTGAGTTGTTTGGTGGGGGGGGGGGGGTGAGGTGTTGCCGTGAGGTGGAGTATAACTGTTGATGGGGACATTTGGTAGATGTGAAATGTGTTAGATGGTGGTTGTAGATTAAGGACTGCGTTGTGTTTGAGTACGCAACTGTATTGCATGTTTATGCTGGATCGTCCTGTCAGTAGTCTTGACAACTATGTATGAAGGGCATTGTTTTTTATGTCATGTGCATCACCACAATTTGAGCAATTAAGTATTTCTGATTCCCATGATTTCGTGGGATGGGCACCAGAGCAGAGTCTACATCAAATATCCTTAGTAAATCCTTGCGAAGTATGATTGAATTATTTACATTAAAACCATTGAGTTGGCCGTGGTATGTGCGCTTCGAGTTTGTTGTGAAAGCCATTCATCCAGACCTGATCAGGTGGAGGGTCGTGTAGGAACGTAAGCAAGACTGTGCCTGTATCACACAGCTCTCCTCCAATTCTAAACATGAACTTTTTAACAATGTAGACTTTTCATATCATCTGCTTTGGTTGTTATTTGATGTCTTCCTCTCTAATGTCAAAGACATGTTTCATGATACATTTCTTTAATCTATCCCCTAATGTACATGAGGAGTCACAGTAACGTGGCTGAAAAATGGTGATCAAACCACACTAGAAAATGAACAGGCAACAGGTACGGTGTCAAAAAGGAGGTAAAGCCTAAGCATAAGCCTACCCTTCCAAAGATAAAAGGAAGGGTAGGCTTATGTTAGGTCACGTTTGTTAGAAAGTTTAGAACACGAGTATGTACTGTCAAAGGGAAGAGTCAACAGCAACAAAGCCAGGACTCTGGTTCATGTGGGGTATGTTGTGTATCAGAGCAGATTCGACCAGACGGCGTCTGTGTAGGGTAGAGGCAGGAAAGATTATTTTGGAGGAAGACCAATCAGTAGGATGATTAGAATCCCTAACATGACAGAAGAGAGCATTGTTTGTGTCTGTAGACTTAACACTTCTTTGTGTTCAAGTCTGTCATTAAGTGTACGGCCAGTTTCACCAAAGTATTGGAGAGGACAAGACGAACAGGAAAGAGTAAACACCAGCAGCATTAGAAGCAGGAGCCGTGTGAACTAGATTGTTACGAAGAGTGATAGTTTGTCGAAAGTTACGTCCTTTGTCAAGAGGACGTAAGGTATTAATAAAGGTTTTGAGTTGATATGAAGGGAAGGCATAGTACAGTGCTACTAGTCTTGGAAGCAGGTTTAGGATGAAAGAAATTAAGCTTAGCTTGAGAAGAGGCACAGTTGATAAAATGTAAAGGATAACCAAGGCAAGAGAATGATTTGAAGATAAGGGAAATTTCAGAATCAAGAAACTGAGGGTCGCAGATGCGTAGAGCGCGGAGGAAGAGAGAGACCTCACATAGTTGGCGCATATTATGTCTCGTCTGGTGGCCAAGCATATCACTCTGCACCACTGCTCACCCAACACACCCATACAGATGAAAAATGAACCCAACAGTTAGCCCACTTAACCCCCGCTTCAATCACTCACAACCTTTCCTCACATGGGCTACAAATAACCTCAAACAGACTTCACTTTACTTCAAAACTCTGAAACTTGACTCACTGTGCCCCCTTTTCCACCTTGTCTTTATATAACTCCTAAAACGATAAACAACTGGAAGACAACATTACAAAGTCTGCACCAAACTCGGACATAGCTTTAGGTTTTGTCTCAACAATGAAAAATTGCTACCCAAATAGAATAGCGATTTAAAGATGATCTCAAAAACCCCTGAACAACTCGGACTCGGTCACAGGCGCTGTACGGATCCCACAATACCATCTCGAGCAGGGATGGCGGTTACCAAACCATCTATCTATTTTCACAGCTGAACTATATGCCTTATACCAATCTCCACAATCACATCACTAATTGGAATACGTACAATCTGTAGCGACTCAGTGTGACACGAACAGTTACGTACTCTTCCATAAGGTGCAGAGAGTTTTACCCATGCCTTCAACTTCTCCATGAACATCAATTGAACGGTTATGACCAATCCAATGGGTTCCAGTGCCCTGTGATATACTCCATAATGAACTTGTAGATCAGCTGGACAATGCGATGCACAACACATCTTACATTACCCATCAACCAATTGCTCATCATGAATGTAAAGGAGCCTTCAAAGATATTGTCACCCAAGATTTTGTATTGAAATGGAAAACGTCATGCTCATTATTTATACTACGGGACCATAAAAATAGAAATGGGAAACTTGGAAATAAGTCTGGTATAAAAGTAGAGAATTTGATGTAATGACGACTAGATTAT